TTTTTCTTTTTTCAGAAATCATTTTTTTTTTAAATGAGAACGATTCTTAAGGATTCTAAACAGATTTTATTTCCTCAGTCTTCCTTTCAACCAATTTCCCTCCCTTTCCAGTCAGTGTTAGGCTTGTTTTACATCTTCTGGGTTCAGAGAAATAATCTCAGTAATTATCAGCAATTCTAAGTACCAACAGTAACTCTCAGCAAATATCAGTAATTATCAGAACCCACAGTAAAAACGACAGTAAATATCAGTAATTATCAGAACCAACAGCAATTATCAGTAACAACAGTATAATATCAGTAAATATCAGAAATTATCAGTAAAAAGTGGCACTATCAGTAATTATTTAGGCCAGTAGTGTAAGAGTGCTATAGGAGGCAACGTTGTTTCAATAACAGAGATTAAGCAGAAATTCTCGGGATTAATGTCTTGCCAAAGAACGACGACTGTGTTATTCAGCGCCATAAATTCGGAGAATTAATGCACTTTCACTATATAATCAAATACAGCTCCTCCCCTACTACCAGAACCTCTGACCCTGGGGCCACAAATTTCACAATAGTGGGAGAGGCACCCTTGCTCCTCATAAGTATGCCTGTAGTTTATCTGCTAAATATACAGGGGGGAGGGGAGAGGATTTTTAAAAAAAAAAAATATGCATTTTCACTATATAATCAATAGAAACCCGCCCTAACACGAGAACCCCTGACTCAGGGGCCACGGAACTGTCAATGTTTGGAGAGGTACCCTTGCACATCGTATTTATGCACCACGTTTGTTTACTAAATATGAAGGATCAGAAAAGAAGATTTTCAAAGAATCATTTCAGTATATAATCAAATACAGCCCCTCGCCCACCACCAGAACCCCTAACCCTGGAGCCACAAATTTCACCACATTATCTGCTAAATATACAAGAGAAAGGGAGAAGGTTTTTAAAGAATTTATGAATTTTCACTATATGATCTAAGAACCCCACCCTAACTACAGAACCCCTGAAACTAGGGTCATGAATTTCACAATTTTATTAGAGGGCTAAGTGCCTATTACAAATATGAAAACAGTTCAAATGCTTGATGTCCTGGAGTAAAGAAGAATTTTTTTTAAATATTGCACTCATTTTGATGGTTTTAGCCCTTAACGTCAGGTCCCAGGGGTCGGGGACCATGAAATTCAAATTTTTTCCCCTTCCTTCATATATGTTATATGCCAAAATTGGTTGAAATTGGTTCAGGGGCGGTTCTAGAGCAGAAACTGAAAATGTTCGAATGTTAATGGACGACGCACATCGCACAACGCACGACGAGACAAAAAACAGATAACAGTAGGTAACCTGGATGACTCAGATGTCCTAAAAATCATAATGAATTGTTTGTGAAAGCCACGTTGTAAAGTTTGGACTTAGAGGTAAAATAAATTTACTTAACATTACAAAAGCATTAATCTACATATCTGCATTAGTCAATTACATATATAACATCAGTCTACTTCAATTCATCAGTCAGATTTATAAATAATTGTGAGGCCCATTCCTCCACCTTATTTTTACATTTTCGTATCATATTTAATATCGGTACTTAAGATTACAAACATGAGTGGAAGCTCTCTTTGTTTTCTGTAAGGAAAATAGAGAAGAAATTGTAATTAATACAGATCTTGAGAATATTAATTATTATTATTTTTTAAAAATAAGACAAAAGTTTCAAATATAAACAAATATAAAAATTACCGGTACAATCAACAATAACCTTTTGCGTATGCAACAATTCATTCAATAACACAAATGATACATACTATCACGTGACGCCTCATTAATCATAAATTAACAGACCTTGGCAATAAATATATATGTTATAGAAGAGTAGAAATCTCAAACAGTTGATTATTCTGGTAGAACCCATCGGCAATGAAATCTGACCGCTAAATCGTTGCAGAAAACTGTTGAAATGGAATTAACAGCGGGTCCTAGGGTTATCAGTGTGTACCTCGTTTACCCTAACTCTTTTACAGACATGTTACTCTCAGTGCTTCGACCCAAAAACTTTAATCATTAGCAACTATGAAAACTCCTCAGTACCTGGTTTTAACCTTTTGACCAATGCTGAAATGGGAATGTGCATGATGGTTTGTAACAAGTTTGAGTTGTGTCGCTCAGTGGATTGGATACGCGAAGAAAAGATATGCCGGCTAAACACAAGATTCACCATCAAAAATGTCAGTGGATCAATGACCGAAGGTCGCACCATTCATGTTGACCGAGAAAGTTTTCCGAAGGTAAGCAATGTATCGGACGTTAAAAAACAAATATTGAAGTATTTAGATTAGAAGCATTTCGATCAAATAAACGAGTTATCACTCTAAGTTGAATGACTTTCAGCACCTGGCGGCCGATTGCCCAAAGCATGCCTGTACCGAGGATACCATTTGTCTTCGGGGTAACTGTGTGCCTGTTTTAAAAGGTAACACATTTCTATAGGTAATGATTATAAAACTGCACTTTGGGTAGCATTCAAATCAAAATTTATTGGAGTTCGATTCGCGCAAACGGCGCCGATTCAAACCTAAGACGTTTAACATAGGTAGTGCTATTCCTTTACAAAGCGCCCGGTACCAGAAGTGAAAGTTAGGGGTCGTTGGATTAAACCTTAAAATCCGAGCTTCCCTGTGACAGAAGGCGTTGGTACGATAGAGTTCCTTCACTGCTTCGGCAGTAATCAACGTGCATATGTCAAAATTTGTGGCACTTCATCTAAAGCGGGTGTCATCTCTATATGAGTGAAATGTTCTCGAAAGGGACGTTAAACAACATTCATTTAATCAATATTGAAACATTTTTAATACAAATCTCTCTGTGTTAATAACAAGTATTAGACATCAATTTCTTCCTGATTATCATTTGTTGGCATTTAGAAAGAATGGGGGATATAGTCAAACTTTGTAGTAAAAAGCTTTTCGATTTGAGAGTATCGAAATTGTCTAATAATCATTTTTTAAGGCAATGACTTATTATTTTACCTGCATGTTTCTATTAACATGCTTATTACTTAAACAATTAAGACATTCAAATTTAAAAACAAATAAAAATGGAAAATAAAATAATATTGGAAAAAAATTATCCTGTTTTCTTCTTTTACGAAAACATCTTATATAAGAATAGGTCTTGTGCTGATGAAAGACACAAACACAGGCACCTGGTGTTATTAATTATAACTATACCCTACCTAAAATTTACGAAAATCAAAATTTTAAAATTTCAAATATTTGTTCCCGATCATGACAAGGAGCACACGGCGGGTGTGACCGGTCGGCAGGGGATGCTCTCTCCTCCATGGCACCTGATCCCACCTCTGATGTTTTAGAGGTCCGTGTTTGCTCTGCTTCTAATTTGTATTGTTTGAATGGACTTTTGAGCTTGAATACGGTTCGTTATCTTCATATATTTCATTCTTCAAGAATTTGTAAAATCAAACTCAAATAATTGAAATGTATTTTAAGTACATTCTTCAAAGCAACTGAGATTAATTTATTACATTTGTAAAATTATTAATGTGTTTGAAAATATCTGCTCAAATTTTCAAAGTAATTGACCATAACCTTGTTCCTAACTGTTATTATTTGTCTGCCACTAGTATTTTCTTTGGTAATTTCTAATCTTAATGCGATAAAAGTGTCTTTAACGAAACATAACTCTTAAGCCAGTCTGTAATTAACATTAATTTTCCTTCGTAGGGAAATCTTAGAACTAACCCTGATTTTGAGCTAAGATGATAATGTGATTGCTTATGTCAATGAATGCAAGCTTTTGTTTACATAATTCATATTTTGACGTTTCCCACTCCGGGACATCGAGCAGTGAGGGATCTTTTTCGTGCCAGCACCTACTGCGACACGGGACCTCGGTTTATACGGTCTCATCCAAAGGACCGGTCTCCATGTCCAGTGGGATTCGAACGCGCGACGCAAGGATCAACTCCTTTTTCCGTGACTCTAGGGCAGACGCTCTAACCACTTTGCCACGCGGGCGACTCAAGATAAGGTAGTTAAGAAGACAATTTACAATTTAAAAATTTACTTAGTTGGTTATACAGTGAAAAAGCGGTAAGCTCTCTCAAATCTAAACAATGAAATACTTTGTTTAAACAGGAATTTTGGTTACGACAATGCAGAAAAAATACATAATCAGCGTTAGCGATTGTGTATTTTTCTGCAATGATTACTGAATGCAATCGTTTTTCTTTATAAACAAAGAAGGGTTTCATTTTCTGGTTTATATTTATATCAGTATAAATTATTCATATAAAATGGATGAAAGCGCCTAACAATGGATATCAGTTTGTTTATCACCTTGGGTAAAAGAAATTTACCTTCGACACTTGCTTTGTACTATTTTATACATATCACATGTACATAAAATCCGAATATTACTACTAAACGACAATCGGTTTTCAAAAGATAAAAAGGAGCTGAAAAATAAATATCTAAGATTAAACATTAGTTATATTTACTCTGTAACCCTTGACATGACCAACCACTGTATTCCGTTTAATCCAATCCGTGTTATTCCATACACACTTTAACACTGAATGATGTATGTGTATAACATAAAGACTCAGCATGACTTTCCAAAATAATTGTTATCTTCATAGGTTTTGTCAATGTCAATGAATTTATAACCTTATATTCTCCAAATAATGTTAATTTTCTTTTATAAAAATTGTTAATCATGATAGACTTCCAATTAATTCTTATTTAACAATTTATTTTACCATGACTTATGACTAGATATATTACTCTCCAGATTGTAACTACTAAACCTTCAGTGTCTGTAAAAAGATTTTTAAAGGTCCGAAAAGATTACATTCAGGTTTAAAGAGCATTCGGTTATAAATAAACAAAGGCTCCATAAATCTATCAATCTCTAATGATTTAAATGTTTGAAAACAAATAGCAAGTTTAATGCAATTTATTATTTATTTCATTCACTTTTTTACACTGAATAGAAAAGATATATAAAGACTGTTCAGATATTGTGAAAAGAGACCCAAGCAAGAAAGAAAAAGATGGAGTTTATGTTATTTACGCTGATACCCGGAGAGAGGTCTTCTGTGACATGACGACTGATAAAGGAGGGTGGACGGTGAGTAGTGTTTTTGTTTTTGAACGATTACCGAATACTCAATAAAATTTCATTTTATTAGGTATTTCAACTTTAATTTTAGAAAATGTCAGACAATGTTAGATGTAAGAGCTTATAATGAAAACAAATTAAACAAAACATTATCATGATGTCTATTGCTGAGTGTGACGTGAAACCTGTCCCGCAACATCAGCACCTGAATAACGAATCGCAATCGAACACCACCATTATATTTGATTATAGCATTAACCAAACATTGAGGGACGAACCCTTACATAACAAAGGGCAGTCGAATTTTAGTCTGCAATTCGGAGATTTTACTGTACTCACCAGCAGAGAATAAACAAAGAAACCACCCACAAGGTTTTGTTTTGGAATTGATTTCTAAGCCATTTGGCACAAAACAATTACAGATGTTCAAGCAATTCTATATTACTCAGTTTTCTCCCATAGCACCTTTGTATCACAGAATAGTACATACTGGCATATATTCTTGCTTGAAACTTTACCGATAAGTAAGGAGAATGTAACATAGTGGTCGGTGTTTATTTTTACAAGAAGCAATAAAATATCTACCATTGCTTACAGGTCATTCAGAAACGACAGGATGGTGACGTCGATTTTTACAGGACATGGAGAGAGTATAAAGACGGATTTGGGAATGCGACTAAAAACTATTGGATAGGTATGATCTTATATTTTTATTTTATATATTCATGTCCAGTTAACATTACAATTTCAATATTGTCGACAATGTAATGTAGGCAAAGTAGATACGGTATCGTGTTTACATTGTATTTTCTGTCGACAATGTCGACAAAGAAATATCTAAAATGCAGGTTTGAAATTTTATTTTCATCTCTGTTGAAATCGCTGAGATTGCAATGTCTTCAATGTTAATGTGATATTATTTTTACATCATTTGTATTGTTATATATCCTCATATCGGTTTCTTAACATAAATAGATTTTTTTCTCTTCCCAAATTATGCAAATAATATCGATTGGTATACAGTTTAATTTCAAATATTACAACTATTTTGCAAAGAAAGAATGTAAACATAGAAAATAAGATGGAACAACGCAATGTTGTCACAACGTATACTTGATGTCAACCAACAATGATATGTCGACAATGTGAATGATTTAAACTGGATAAGGGATCGTAAATTTCGTACAATGTCAACTCGATGTAAACATAGTACGAGTTACAATATTCGTACGATGTCATTTCGATTTAAACAGGATACGAGGTACAATGTTCGGACTATACAGGCTTACTGTCGTCAATTTGAGCGATGTCAATGAATAAGAGAAGACAATTTTGTCAAAATGCCGAATCAAATCAATATCTCCTATATTGAGATTCCAATAATGTGAAGGATGTAATCAGGTTAATAGTCATAATGTTACACTTTTTCGACTCGATTTCATCGAACATTGAACATGATATGAATGTTGTTACTAGTACGAGAACTCGATGCTGACAAGAAGTCGATTCCATGTTGCTTTATTACGACGATGTAAACAAGTTAGTGGCACCATGTATATGTTGTTAAGTTTAAAGAAGTTATTCACGGATATGTCCAAAATATTAATAAAAAATCGAACATTAGACATACCTTGCAGAATAAATAGAGGGACCTACATCACGCAACAAAATAAAACATAACTCTTAAAATCCTCTCAGGAACATGGTTTTCTGAAAAACTTGGGGACTCTTTTTAAAATCGGTGTTTTACTCTATTAAAATAACAAACTGACGTAGAAATTTCAACGATACCTAGGTTAAAAAAAATCAAGTCTTCAAATACCCCTTTTCCGAATATTTGTTTATAGAAATTCAGGACCTACTGACTCATACCCAGAAGAGGACATAAAACTCAAAAATTTGGAAACTGTAGTAAAAGCACATGGTATTGGTAACATAAAATGAAACGGTAGATAAATATCAATTTTCAATTAACGGTACGTCACTCGTCAGCTTTTGAGAAAAGTTTGGTCAGAACAGCTATTTTCAAAAATATCAAATTTATTTTTATAAGTATGAATCAAGGAATGCCCATTTTACAACTAAATTAACCAAATTAAATTAACAATTAAAAAGCTCTCTCAAAATGGGTTAAAAAAATATAACATTTATAGGGAACCTTTTGTTGTGATGGAAGGGTATTAAGAAGAAAATTATCAATATGTACAAATTTCACTTATTTTATATGTTGGAAATTGGTCAAACATATTTTTACCTTAAAAAATTCTCATGTTATCATATGCTAGGAATATTCAATAAAGTTTCAAGTGATATTTTTAGAACAAATTTTACCCATTACATTACTTATGCAGCAATATACCATCACCTGCATACGGAGTTTATATCTCTCAGTTGATTCGATACGCAAGAGCATGCTCTACGTATGTACAATTTCTAAAACGAGGTAAATTATTGACAAACAAGTTCATGAAACAAGAATATCAGCAGTCTCGTTTAAAGTCATCATTTAGTAAGTTCTATGGTCGATACAATGACCTTGTTAGCAAATACAATTTATCTTTGAGTCAAATTCTGACTGACGTTTTTCATACTAATTGTTAGGCCATTATTTACACACTGAATTGTCGACGGATTTTTCCGTTATTTCCTGATCATGACAAGGAGCAAACAGCGGGTGTGACCTGTCGGCAGGGGATGCTCACTCCTCCATGGCACCTGATCCCACCTCTGATGTTTTGGAGGTCCGTGTTTGCTCTGCTCCTATTTTGTATTGTTCAATGGACTTTTGAGCTTGAAAATTGTTCGTTATCTTCATATATTTCATTGAATTGTTTACAACATAATACTTGATATCGAAATTACTTTACGGAACTCTTTCGCGGAGGAGGTAGGAAACGTCCATTAGTTGGGGGCAATGTGATGTTGCATACGGTACGAGATCGATCACTGTAGATTTGTAAAGTACATATAAGAAAGAAATCCTGGTCAAATCTATTGCTTAATGTTCGAAGCACTACGCTGATAAAATTTAGCAGATGCTAGTTCCTTTGTGTTACATTTTTGTAGACATTTTCCGCTAAGCCGACTCTTCTTATAATAAATTGAACCATTTTATTTCTGGGAATTGTTACATTTAAAGTTTAAACATTCTGAAAAAGATGAATTACTTTTGGCCTACTCATTGATCGAATTATTTGATTGTCACTAGTGTGAACAATATGTTATGCCTCGAAAATGACATGAGATTTAGAGCTTCTTTGCCTATGTCGCGAAAGAGCGACAGTAAGTTAGATAACTACATGTACGTGGTAATACCAATACTGAGTATTTTGATACACATTTACATGAACCCAAACACAATATCTATTATGATTTGATGAATACTTTTGAAATATATATGAATTAATAGGTTTAGCTAAGTTTGTAAAACTGTTCTTACATTATTCTATGCCTGAACTTCCTACAATGTAAACATTAAACGAATATATTTTTTTTGACAACCGTCAGTGCTGTCCATATCAAAGATCTTTTTGTAGTTCATTATGTTAACTGTTCACATGTTGATTTGTTCAATTGCTAACTTTGATGGTACTAACATACACCACGTGGGGGGTTTAGTGAAATAAAAAGTTTCAAGTTTCACTCTAAAGAGACGCGCGCGGAGAAAGCGTTTAGTGTATTAAATATGGACTTGTTTATCTTGGAAATACTTTTTTCCCTCTCTCTCTCTCTCTCTCTCTCTCTCTCTCTCTCTCTCTATATATATATATATATATATATATATATATATATATATATATATATATATATATATATATATAAAGCACTAAAAATCACCAACGACACGAACAGTAATAATTGTCCAATTTTCGGGACGACCTGTCCCTTCCTCAGGACAAAGAAAAAAATTAAGAAGTCATAAAGAAAAAGGAAATAGAGAAACAAAAACAATTAGCACTACTACTAAGCTATTAAACACTAAATATTTACAGTGCTACATGTTTAATTTGAAGTTGATAAACAGTTGTGAACAAAGAAATCCGGAGCGCTATGAATTGCGTCCGGTCTATCGGGTGTATTCAGGTGAAGTACATATATATATATACATATATATATATATATATATATATATATATATATATATATATATATATATATACATATATATATATATATATATATATATATATATATATATATATATATATATATATATGTGTGTGTGTGTGTGGGTGTGTGTGTGTGTGTGTGAGGGTGTGTGTGTGTGTGTGTGTGTGTGTGTGTGTGTGAGGGTGTGTGTGTATGTGTGTGTGTGAGGGAGGGTGTGTTTGTAAGACCCCGATACTCACTACACGCACTAGGTAACACACCAGCAAGTCACTACATTTTGAAGAGTCACCACTTACACTCATGTAGTGAGTTTTCTAAAGTGTTGAAAACGGAATTTCGCACCGTATATTACCCAGAAAATACAAAATTGTTCATAGTGTGAGTTTCCGGTCTGAACGTGATTTTTTCCACACACATTTTCATGCTGCATCATGGCGTTTACACACTTTCCCCTAATGGATTTTTTGCGCATGCGCACGAGTAACTTCCGTGAAAATGGACATCAACAGTAAAAGTAAGTTATTAACAACATATTTTGACAATTTTTACATAGTACAAAATCCGAATTAACTGTTTTTGACATGTTTTATTATTATTTAGTCGCTTAAAGACCAGAGTACTGATAAAAAAAATTATAACATGATTTTAACAGATTATTTTGTTAGAAATGACATTCAGTTAAGGATGTGAATAAAGTTGCACTTCTTTTAAGGATATTTTCTCTATTAATTGAAATAATTAACTTTAAAATAACGTACCGTGTTTAATGTAATTATTATTTTAAACTTTAAAATCAGTTTTATATGTTACATAACATTTATTAATATTGACTGAATTTCCTCGCAATTCCGACATTTTAAAGTAGTTTGTCAAAGGCAATGCGATTGCAAACAGATAAATTAATAAATTATAGGCCCTAAGTTTGTCTTTTGTGCACTTAACATTAGGATATTGAAAAAAGTCATTGTGAGTTACTGGTTGTAAAAGTAGAATGAGGGATAATCCGAATTTCCTGATCAAGAATGATAAAAGTGGACTTACCTTTTCTTAAAAAAAATGTTTAGTAAATAAACATATGTAAATATTTTACTTAAAACAAGTGAATTTGTTTTAGTGTTCTTTTATCTGTTTGTTTGGGGTTTTTTTTAGTGTTTTTTATCTGTTTTAAACAATTCATTTTAAATAATGTTGCCTTATCTAATGAGATTATTTCATCATCTCTAATGAAATTATTTCATCATATAATCTCACATTTTATATACCAATAATTTGACTTTACCAGAACTTCCCGAAAGTTAAGTTTATTTGAAAGAAAGAGTTTGATGAAATATATGGAGATAACGAACAGTATTCAAGCTCTGATACAATTGCAAAATATTCAAGAGAAAAAATAAAATTCTTTCATATTTGCTTAATATTAAAGAACAAGTAATTAAAATAATTGTTTGCTTGTTTACCATCCCTTTGAAAATTTTTCTCTCATACTGAGATGCCACCACTTGCCGGTGGAGGGGCAAAAATTTAGACCTGTGCACCAATAAGCAATTATGGATCTTTTTCATGCCAGCGCATACTATGAAACAG